ATTTAGATGCGGCTCTCCTGTGTGCCGGGCGCCCGCTCCCCTCCCTCCTCTCCTCCTCTCCCCTCCCTCCTCCTCTCCCCTCCTCTCCTCTCGGATGGCCGCCCCCCCTCTCGGATGGCCGCCCCCCTCCCTCCTCTCGGACGTCAGGACTCTGCAGCTGTCAGGATGTAGGCGGGGCAGCCAGGATGTAGGCGGGGCAGCGTGACGAACTCCTCTCACAGTCCTCCCTGAAGACCAGAACGGCGCGGGAATACGAGAGGAACGCGCGGACCAAAGGTAAGTGAATTGACACAGGGGGGGGACTTACTATATGGGGGATGAATTACTATATGGGGGACTTACTATATGGGGGATGAATTACTATATGGGGGACTTACTATATGGGGGATGAATTACTATATGGGGGACTTACTATATGGGGGACTTACTATATGGGGGACTTACTATATGGGGGACTTACTATATGGGGGACTTACTATATGGGGGACTTACTATATGGGGGACTTACTATATGGGGGACTTACTATATGGGGGACTTACTATATGGGGGACTTACTATATGGGGGACTTACTATATGGGGGACTTACTATATGGGGAATGAATTACTATATGGAGGACTTACTATATGGGGAATGAATTACTATATGGGGGACTTACTATATGGGAATTAATTACTATATGGAGGACTTACTATATGGGGAATGAATTACTATATGGGGGACTTACTATATGGGGAATGAATTACTATATGGGGGACTTACTATATGGGGGATGAATTACTATATGGGGGACTTACTATATGGGGGATGAATTACTATATGGGGGACTTACTATATGGGGGATGAATTACTATATGGGGGACTTACTATATGGGGGACTTACTATATGGGGGACTTACTATATGGGGGACTTACTATATGGGGGACTTACTATATGGGGGACTTACTATATGGGGGACTTACTATATGGGGGACTTACTATATGGGGGACTTACTATATGGGGGACTTACTATATGGGGGACTTACTATATGGGGGACTTACTATATGGGGGACTTACTATATGGGGAATGAATTACTATATGGAGGACTTACTATATGGGGAATGAATTACTATATGGGGGACTTACTATATGGGGAATTAATTACTATATGGAGGACTTACTATATGGGGAATGAATTACTATATGGGGGACTTACTATATGGGGAATGAATTACTATATGGGGGACTTACTATATGGGGGATGAATTACTATATGGGGGATGAATTACTATGTGGGGGATGAATTACTATGTGGGGGATGAATTACTATGTGGGGGATGAATTACTATGGGGGATGAATTACTATATGGGGGATGAATTACTATGGGGGATGAATTACTATGGGGGATGAATTACTATGGGGGATGAATTACTATAGGGGGGATGAATTACTATAGGGGGGATGAATTACTATGGGGGACGAATTACTATATGGGGGACGAATTACTATATGGGGGACGAATTACTATATGGGGGATGAATTACTATGGGGGATGAATTACTATATGGGGGATGAATTACTATGGGGGATGAATTACTATGGGGGATGAATTACTATATGGGGGGGATGAATTACTATGGGGGATGAATTACTATATGGGGGATTAATTACTATGGGGGATTAATTACTATGCTTACTATGGGGGAATATTACTATACTTACTATGGATGACACATACACATCATTCATCTACTCTTGGTCCGGCCCCCGGGTCCAATATATGAACCCATTGCGGCCCTCAAGTCAAAAAGTTTGCCCACCCCTGGTCTACAATCTACAGTATATACTTTGACATTTTTTTTTTCTTTTAATACTAGTAATGGCGGTGATCAGCAACTTATAGCAGGACTGTGATATTGCAGCGGACAATCTGGCACTAACTGACAATTTGTGGGAACCAGTGACACTGATACAGTGTTCAGTGCTAAAAATATGCACTGACACTGGCCGGGAAGGGGTTAAACATCTAGGGCAATCAAAGGCACATGCTGATTGGCTTCTGATGTGACTAATCACAACAGAAGTGGTGCACCGGGAGTGCACACGCCCCTTCAACCAAGAAGTGCAAAATCATGTATTTATACGTGATTTTGCACAGAGCGGCCACCTAGTAGCAATACATCTGCTATATGGCGGTGGGGAACTGGTTAGGAATTTAAAAGGTAACTAATATTTGTGAGTGACAGAATCCACTGGTTCTCCCTATACAAGTGCCCATGATGATGAGGTCCAGTCAAGCAACAGAAAACTACTTTACCTTCATTGCAAGAGCTAACAGAGGAGCGTGTGTCAGTTTAGATTTGATGAGTTCACCCGCTCTCAATCATTCTAAACGCATTTGCTAATCAGTAATTCAAGTAAGGAAGTCAGGCAGTCAAGTGTACATAGTTCATAGAAAAAAAAACACACATATTATATATATATATATATATATATATATATATATATATATATATATATATATATATATATATATATATATATATATATATATATATATCCTTTTTTTAGATTCCTGTCCTAGTCCTTAAACATCTCTCCCCATTATTAATGGTGTGAACTCGAAATTCTTTTGCACAGTGTGAGTGTAAAGTAAAGGAATCAGAAGGTTTAGCGGTGACACCTAGTGGTTGTCTACTTTGTAAAACAAAGCAGTTTCCAGTGATCTGGGGAAATTTACCTGTGACAGACTAAATTCTATTCCAGAATCTATTTTAAAAGTGATTGTTAAAGCTAAATAATTTTAAATTAAAATAAAAACCATGGTATACTTACCTGATCTCTGCAATGGTATTGCACAGTCATGTTGGAACAGGAAGGGGCCATCCCCAAACTCTTCCCACAAAGTTGGGAGCATGAAATTTTCCAAAATGTTTGGCATGCTGACGCCTTAAGAGTTCCCTTCACTGGAACTAGGGGGCCAAGCCCAACCCCTGAAAAACAACCCCACACCATAATCCCCCCTCCAAACTTTACACTTGGCACAGTGCAATCAGGTAAGTACCGTTCTCCTGGCAACCGCCAAACCCAGACACGTCCATCAGATTGCCAGACAGAGAAGCGTGATTGGTCACTCCAGAGAACACGTCTCCATTGCTCTAGAGTCCAGTGGCAGCGTGCTTTACACCACTGCATCCGACACTCTGCATTGCACTTGGTGATGTAAGGCTTGGATGCAGCTGCTGAGCCATAGAAACCCATTCCATGAAGCTCTCTAGGCACTGTTGTTGTGCTAATCTGAAGGCCACACCTAGTTTGGAGGTCTTTAGGTATTGACTCTGCAGACAGTTGGCGACTTCTGTGCACTGTGTGCTTCAGCATGTGCTGACCCCGCTCTGTCATGTGATGTGGCCTACCACTTGGTGGCTGAGTTGCTGTTCCCAGTTGCTTCCACTTCGTTATAATCCCACTAACAGCTGACCGTGTAATATTTAGTAGCCAGGAAATGTCACAGATGGACTTATTGCACAGGTGACAACCTATCACGGGACCACGCTTGAATTCACTGAGCTCCTGAGAGCGACCCATTCTTTCACAAATGTTTGTAGAAGCAGTCTGCATGCCTAGGTGATTGATTTTATACACCTGTGGCCATGGAGGTGATTGGAACACCTGAATTCAATGATTTGGAGGGGGAGGGGTGTCACAATACTTTTGGCAATATAGTGTATCTATGATAAGACCATCTTAAAGATGCATCACCTGTGGTAGTTAAGCAAAAATTGAAGGTCAACTCCACGTCCATAGATAAAAAATATATAGCAAATAAAAAAATAGCATATACAATTTGCTACAAAAGCCATATTGTAAATTAGTTATAAAAATTACACGTCCTTTTCAACTTGCAGCTTCTCTAATTTTCTATAAATTCAGTGCACTTGAATTGGTGTACAGAACACTCCAGAAAGGTCATCTCCTGCCTGTGTGAAGAAGTCTTGTTTTAGATATCCTCTACAAAAAAAAAAAAATGTAATTTTTGGTGAGATACTCCATAACAATCACTTCTAAAGGGATGCAGACACTGTAACTTCTCACATCAGAATCAAGCAAGTGCAACAGCTGCTTGTAAGGAATTAGTCACTGCCATTCAGAATCAGTCCTGCAAAAGACATGATCTAGCTAAACGCTATTCTTTCAAAGCAGAAACAGGTAGGAATCTGCAACAAAGATCATAGATCACTCAGAGAGGAATGTTTATTCTCAACAAAAAAATTGAGTTACTCTTAAAATGGTCCTAAAGCCATTCTATGCATTCAGGAAAAAATCTTCTGTGTCACATACTCCCCCCTCTCCCTCCCTTATACGTACCTGAGCCCCATTACGATCCAGTGCTGCGCAGAGGAGCTGCGGCTCTCCTGACTTTGTCCTTCCTCCCTGGGCAGATCAATAAAAGGAGGAGCCATTGGCTCCCTCTCTTGTCAGTCGAGTGATGGGGGATTGGGGGGCGGGGCCAAGTCCCGCTGTCTGTGTCAATGGATGCAGCAGCGGGACTCGGGAGCGAACCTCAAGAGTGCTCCCATGGGAATCAGCTTCCTATTTGGGGCACTGAACAGAGGAGGAGGAGTCAGGAGCGCTGGCGGGGGACCGAGAACAGAAGGATCGGGGCCACTCTGTGTAATGCTATTGCACAGAGCAGGCAAGTATAGACAAGATTGTTCTTTTCTTTTTTCACTTACAATCACCAAGTTCAGTATGTAGTTGTTTCAATATATAATGAAGGCTTGGGTCTGGACCGCGCCTTTGCAATTTTTGTAGATTGTGGTATATTTTTTTTTTTTCATTCAATGGGTTTTTTATGTGCAACTAGTGTCCAACGAATAATCATTTTTTTCTGAATCCCATATACTTTTCACACCTTGAATACCATGACTTCGCAAGCATAGGATTTCATGAGATAAGGGGCTATAATATGCCTGTTGTATAATACTCTACAGATATAGTAAAATTGACTTTTACCCTCTCTGGACCGGCAAGGGTTGGAGCTCTCCAATTGCTAGCCCTTGCGGAGTGAAGTATTTCAGTAATTCCTTGGCATCCAGCAGTGTCAGGCCTTCCTTTTGATTGTCCTTTCGGCCCAGTAAGTGGTCTGCTGAGCTGGATAGCATAGATGCCCTGTAAGAAATTCAATCGAGATACGATAAAAAGGCTGATAAAAGCCATACTCTATCCGGAGCACCTGTCAAACCCCCCCAAAAAAGTGTCAAGGTCCAGTGCACTCCGCTGGTGAAGTATACGCTCCTTTTACATTTGGGGGGTCTCAAACTGGACCCCAACAGAAAAAAGGTTTATATGCAATGCATTGCGGGTAACTGGCAGGTTTTCTTCTATTCCCTCTTACTTGGGTTGGGAATTTGAATAATGCATGCTGCCCAGTATTGGACCCTATGCTCCCTGTGTCTTCCCTTTAAACTCAAGCACCCCCCTCCCACCCTGTATACAAGACTGTTCCCTTTGCTCCAACCATTTGCTCATTAGACTTATTGAATGCTTGGAGATGGCTTCACCAGCACCCTCGTCAATTCTTCTGCCATTCCACACTATCCAGGAGTGATAATGCCTTCATTTAACACTCTCCTCAGCCGTCTTCATGGATTTGCTTTGGATGTATTCTGACCATTCCCCTCTCCTTGTGTCTCTGAAATGGGGACTGAGTGTCCCTTTAATATTGTGGGAATTTTAAGCTATTTTGGTATTCCCTTTTTCCAGAAAACACTGATCTTACCGCCCATGTAATCTGCCTAAGAACAGACTGCAACTAGTTATTGTAGTATATTATCAATCGTCATCCTCCACAGGATATATGACAACAGTTATGTATTGATAGCCTCAGACTCTTTCAACGTATATGCCAGTGCAATATTGCTCGATACTATACAGACCTTAAAGCGTAAAATTCCAAAAAACAAATTGGGACTATGTGCAAAGCCTTAGAAGTCAGGGACCAAAAGTGAAAATGAACAACATATTTGGAGGATTCCAACCTCCACTCATCTCTCTAGAGGAATGTGTTGTTATATTGGCACCCTAATTGTATTTTGTTTTTTAGTATGGTGTATATTAGGCCTATTTGATTGTGGTGTGGTTGGTTTTTGGTTTTATGATCCCAACACTACTGGCCCTGATGTCTGTTGACTGTTCTCTTCTACATGCAAAGCTTTTTCTCAAACATATATTGTAAAATAAAAGATGGGGACCTTTAGTGCAAATACTTTGCATTCTCTGGCAGCAAGTGAACATTACTCTCTGATGAACATTAGCACTCACCGGATTCTCTGCTGCATTTTCTCAAAGTTTTCCAGATTTTGAAGTACATTTCTCTCTGGCCAGTCAGATGGATTCAGCAAGGCTGTTTGATATTCTGAAATAAAATTGTGACAGGCATAGCTTTTAACAAGAGACATTTAGCCCTGGTTCACAGCCGATGCGACTTGTCATATGATTTGAAAGTGTCAAATCGTACGACAACGATCACCTTATGACCGGCAATAGAACCGGTCTCACCGATTTAAAAAGTAGTTCCAGCACTACTTTTGCTGATTTCCAGTTTCCAAAATGAAACGGAAGTGGCACGTCGGCCATTTTGAAGACTGGAAACCGCATGTCAAACATTCTAGAAGCTGCTCGGCAACCCTGAGATGTTTGAAGGGCATGGGAATATGCTTTTATTCATTTTATCATTGTAAGCAGTTAAATAAAGTATAGAATTTAACATTTGAAAAAAAAAAAAAAGAATTACACTATATATTTTATTCATCTATTACTTGCATGAGCACTTTGGAGTCCTGTGAGGTGCTTCCTTAAGCCATGAGCACATTCAGGAGAATGTGGTGGAGGATATCCTAGGAAGTACGTTTCAGGAGTGGAGGAAAGGTGTGGAATTGTGCTGCTGATTTCTACTATACTAATAAGGCGTTTTATTTCTGCTTTCTGGTAAGGTTATATAGGCTTTGCACTTTAGAAGTGTACACTGTTGTGGTCACTTGGATTGCTGTATTCAGAGTGACGCACTATCACCCATTTTTGCACAGTGTTGACATTTTTGCACTATATGAATCTTGCACAAAAATTTTTGAAGATGCATTAACCTCCCTGGCGGTATGATTATGTCAGGAATTTTGTACCAAAAGCGGTACCATTTTTTTTTGCATGGAAATATGTATTTTTTTTATTGTAGGCCTGTAATTTAGGAATATCTCCCTGAAATCTGTCCGGACAAGAGTCTAGTAAACATCCCGGGTATGATAAAACTTGAAACACAAAATCATAAATTATAATTTAATAAATACTCATAAAAAATAATAATATAATAATAATAAATTTAATTCAATAATATAATCAAACCAAAAACACTGAAATTTGAAATATAGCGCCAAGTTCGCACATCACTGAGCAAAGTTGCAGAATTGTTTTTAGTGTCTGATGACGAATTTCTCCACGAATCATTATCACTCAATTCTGCAAGTGGTTCTGATTTACTATCGCTGTTCTCTAGCCGGTCTAAAACCGCTTTTGACCTAAAGGGATGCTTTTTGGACGCCGTGGACTTTTCCAAGTTTCCAGGCAGAAAGAACAGTCAAAATGCAGACAGGGCGCAGGACAAAATGCATGTGAAATGCTTTGATACAGCAATGTTTTGCTATGAAATAATAGTTTTAAAAAAAAGTCTTTTTTTAAATTTTTCAAATTTGCCGCCGGTTCCGGCGCCCGTACGTCCCGACGTCACAGGGACCGGAACACGGAAGCCCAGATGCCAGCATCAGCCGGAGGAGATGGCCGGGGACGCTGCAGGGGATGCATCGCGGGAGCGCAGGACAAGGTAAGCTCTGCAGGGAATCCCTATGCAACGCCGCATGGTAAGCCCGAGTGTAGCTCGGGGTTACTGCTTTTGGTACTGAAACTTTACCCCGAGCTACACTCGGGAATACCGCCAGGGAGGTTAAGCTATATGGGAAAGGGTATGATATTTATTTATTTATTAAGGTAATGCACTGAGTTTTTCCTTTTTTTTTTGTTTTAGGTAATTTGTTGTCCGTTTGAGAGCCAGTGGAGGGGCTCGGCACCAAAGTATCCGATAAGTTGGACTGTGGACACAAAGTTTATTGGAGTGACTTTATTTACACGATTTTTGGATATAAGTGATTTTAGTTTTATTTTATCTTTTTGGGATTGTATACATTTTGAATATTTTTTTGATACGCACTTTAGAATATTTGGTTTCATTATAGGGGTTCATGTGTTTAGGGCTATTTATTTACATATTGGATTTTTGTGAAGATACGCTCACCGGCCACTTTATTAGGTGCACCTTGCTAGTGCCAAGAAAATTTCCTCCATTTCCATCATTACACCACCACCAACCTGAGCCATTGATACAAGGCAGGATGGATCCATGCTTTCGTGTTTACAGCAAATTCTGACCCTACCATCTGAATGTTGCAGCAACCAGTCTTCCCATTCTCCTCTGATCTCTGACATCAACAAGGGATTTTTGTACACACAATTGCCATCCACTGGGTATTTTCTTTTTTTCAGACCATTCTCTGTAAACCCTAGAGATGGTTGTGTGTGAAAATCCCAGTAGATCAGCAGTTTTGAAAAACTCAGACCAGCCTGTCTGGCACAAACAACCATGCCACGTTCAAAGTCAATTAAATCCCCTTTCATCCCCATTCTGATGCTGGGTTTGAACTTCAGCAATTGTCTTCACCACGTCTAGATGCCTAAATGCATTGAGTTGCTGCCATGTGATGGGCTGACTAGCAATTTGGGTTGCCAAGCAATTGAACATGTGTACTTAATAAAGTGGCTGGTGAGTGTATTTTCCTGTATGCAACCGGTTTCATTGATACCATACACGTACTACATTAATTCCACAGAGGGAGACCTGCATATGCCCCCACCATGAGACCAAAATGGATTTGTCCTAGAAGATTGAGGTTTTTGACACAAAACAAATGTGGCTGTGCACAACCTTTGAAACAGTATCTTTTAACAGTAGATGCAAACTCTAAGGGCTGGTTCACACCATGAATTTCACTGGAACAGGCTGTGTGTTCCTGTGCTATTCAAATGCAATCCAAATGCAGTGCAGGTTCAAATGAATGGCTGAAATCATTCCAGACTGCACCAAAAGTGCATACACTACTTTAAAAAACACACTGTACTGCGTTTACGACCTGCATTTGGGGTTAACGCTGACAACCGCTGCCGATCGCAAGTGCAGTGCGTGTTGAACGCGGTACGGGAAACGCACACTGAACACGTTCTGGTGTGAACTGGCCCTAATGGAATGACATTAAGAGCTTTATTTATAAAGCTGCAGCATTCCCTTACCACAGTCATACCCTCGCAAAAAAAAAAAAAAAAAAAATGAAAGGACACACACACTTATAAAGCCTAGTGGTGGGACACTGAGAGCAGCATAGTACTAGTAAAATCAGGAGAGAAAGAAAAAAGCCAGGAGGAGAGCCCAGTTACCTGTCAAGGTCATGCAATCAGCCTTTCCTCCACTCACAGTTTTCTCTCCACTGTGTTAAACAGAAAGAACTCTTACACCACAAGGCAACATATTGTGGCCTGCATTTTAGGAATGGGCTATAAAAACACAGGTAGTGTGGACTTTCATCCTTTGTTGCATTTCAGCACTACTGATTGCTTGCAGCCCTTTCCTGACTAAAGCTACGTTCACACTAGCCTTGTTAGCAAGCGGCAGACAGGCGTTTGGGAAGCGTTTTTACAGTTTTCCAAACGCCTGGGAAAATTCTGCACATTGCAGCACATAGTGCTGTTCAAACGGGAGCATTAGCGTCGTGGCAAAACGGACGCCTCTGGTCGAGTCAGGAGGAGTTGAAGCCCTCCTATTTGAGTCTATGGTGCCGCTCCGCAAACACCCGGCTGGCGTTTGCGGTGCGGTTGCGGGGCGTTTGCGGAGCGGTAACACCATTCAAACTTCATTATAGGTGTTTTGTGGGGCGTTTTTAATGCTTAGCAAGTGCCTAGCAACCCCCGCTAAACCGCGTGCATGTGGCGTTTGCGGAGCATTAAAAACGCTCCGCAAATGCCGGACCAACGCTTGGCAAACGCTATAAGGGCATTTGGCAAGAGTTGGAAAAACAGTCAAGTGTAAACGAGGCCTAAAGCAGTCCAGTGACTGCTGCTTGGCACATCTCAGGGAAGATTACCCAACAGTGACATAAGTGGTCCATGCCTGCACAATGTGTCCTAAAGCAGCCACATATAGCCACCATCAGAGAGCTATTTGCCTGGGTAACACTGCAGGAGCACATTTGAGAGACAGGAACAAAGACCTTCATGACTAGATCATCAGGCATTTTCTTTTTTTAATTAAAGCTGCAGATTTTTAAATATTGAAAATGGACTTTGGTAAGCTTACCTACATGCTTTCCATGCATAAAAGGTAAAAAAAAAAAAAAAAAACCATCAGTGTGCAGCAGCCCCCCCATAATACTTACCAGTGCTGTGCACAAGAGCCTCAGCTCTCCCTGGGTCTCACCCTCCCCATTGGCTGAGACACAGCAGTGGGAGCCCTTTGCACCCACTGCTTTCAATCACAGTCAGTGAGGAGGGAGCGGAAGGGGGGGGGGGCGAACTGTGCTCTGCTGTGTCTTATGGACACAGAGAACGTGGCTAAGGAGCGAGCACACACTAGTGCCCCCATATCAAGCAGCTTGCTAAGGGGGCACTGCTCAAGGGGGACCCAAGAGGAGGAGGATTGCAGCTGCTCTGTGCAAAACCACTGCACAGAGCACGTAAGTATAGCATGTTTGTTAATTAAAATAAAAATTGAACATTTAGTATCACTTTAAATAAGATCCAGTGCTCTATGATTATAGGTTTCAATTAGGAAATGTTTACTTCTTGTAGTAGCTTTACAGTGTCAGAACTTCACTGGACACTGAATAATAGAGACTTAAAAACGCGGAATCCAACTGGCAGCTACTTATTGATGAAAATTAAATTTAAAAAATACAGTTTTACTTAAGTATAAGAAAATATTGCCATAAACAGTCCAGGTTAAGTAAGGGACTCAACAGCTGTCATTTTAACATATGTCTACCAATATCTCAGAGTATTTGGATGCATCCATTGTCAATACTGGACACTTACCAGCAGGGACAGCTCCGGAGCTGTTGGGTTTTTCATCCTGCTTGTCACTGGGCAACTTGCTTTCATAAATTCTGAAAACTGCATCTCGAGTCAGTTTAAACAAAGTCTTCAATGAGTTAACATTTGCAGGGGCAAGCGGTTGCGCACCATCTTTTCTCTCTGGAAAACAAAAAAAAAAATAATCTTTCATAACACGGGGGAAAAGTTCATGGACAGATATGATGATTCAAAGAGAATGTGGCACCCAGTACTTACTGAAAAATTCCTCCAACACTAAGGCCCGAGCATGGGCCAGAGCCCTCTCCCTCATCAAAACCTGATCACCATCCAAAAGAGGTAGATTGCTCAGTGTGCTGCAATCTGAAAAACAGGAACATTAAAGTGGTTGTAAACTCTCACAAATAGCCAGTGAAGTGACTGGCTTCATGTGATACACAGAAAAGAAACAAATCTTCCTACATAAGTTGTACGTGTTTATCTACAGCCGTTTGTCCTTAAAATCCGTTCAAGGTTCAGAATTTATAAACCTTGTCTGAGCTGTCAGAAAACGGGGGTGGAGAGCTGAACTTATACTCTGTAGAGCTCAGTGAGGGCAGATCTGAGAGATGATTGGCGGGGAAGGGACACACCCCCTTTTACACAGCACACAGGAACAGAGCTGCGGCTGTCAATCTGCTGGAGCTCACTCACCAAATTTTTTGTTGGTGACTCAAGCTGATAGCAGGGGGAACAAGGCAGCAGGCAGGAATGACACTTAGTGCTCTAGATTGAGACAAATACACACTATAGAGAGATATGCTTTGTTTATATTTCATGTCTGAGGTTTACAACCACTTCAATTAATCAAGGGATAATTGTAAGCACAGTGGCACAAAGGCAGCTTTTTACACAGACTTTAAAGTCCAACTAAACTCTGACAAAATTTGCTAAATACATCCCAGGTGCATCAAACAAAAAGGTGTGCAATGTCTTACAGTTCATTGGAAAGCAACCACAGCCTCAAGTAGGAAACCCTGTCCCCTGTCAGCATGCTGCATACAAGGGTCCTTGCTCTGTGTGTGAAAGAAGTGGTCTCACTGCAAATTTATGACAACCCCTGCCGGGGGGAACTGACCATCTGGAAACTTGGGCACTGCCCAAGGGCCCAGGGTCAGTAGGGGGCCCCATGAGATGCCCCTGGCACCTTTTTCATAGGCTTTTTTGATTTTGGGCAAGGACACAGGGGCCCCATGATCCCCTATTGCCCGGGGGCCCCATGAGTTGTCAGTCCGCCCCTGACCCCTGCTGAATCAGACCCAGAGCTCTCTAACAATCAGGCAGCAGGATATTAGTTTATTGCAGAGCTATAGGACTGACTCAGCACAGGGGTTCTGGACTTCTGCAGAAAGACCACTGCTTCCATACACATAACAAAGATCCCTCTATGCAGAATGGTCACAGGGGACATGCTCTACTACTCAGGCTCTGGTTACTTTACAAAAAAATTTACTGCAAAACTTTGTATACTTTTAGTATATTTAAAAACTGAAAGTTCATTTATATTTTAGGTGCTGCTGATAAGCCACAAAACGAGTGACTTTAGGACGCTTGCATTTGGTATTCATACCTAAAAGTGTCAATTCATCCAAAACTGATATTACCCAGGATAAACGTATAGTTTTATTTAAAGGAGACCTTAACACCAATGCATGCCTATTATGATAAACCGCCCCAAATAAAGTAAAGTACTTACATAAACATGTGACAGACTGTATTCCTTAGGAAATTCTTGCCCCTATTGTCCTGAAAATCTTTTGACCCACCACTGACAGGATCCATACAAATACACTGGCACCTCTTTCCTAGTCCTGTTGTCAGGACTAGGAAAGAGGTGCCAGTAGTCCAGGGAAAATCTGCATTAACAGTATTTGCAGACTGTGGGCCCCTTCAGCCCCTGCTAGGACCTAGGTTAATGGCAGGGCTGGGGATAGGAAACCAACTAAAAGCAGAGACTCCATAGCGTCTGACCTAGTTACATAGAATAAGAGGTCCATTTTCAACACAGCGGGGAAAAGAACTCTCAAATGCATACAGCTTACCATTTGCCCATGTGATTATTTTAACTTAAAAGTGATACTAAAAGCTAAAAACATTTTGTTTTTTACCTTACTGCATTTTCAGTTTCCCCTGTGTGAAGGGGAAGAGACGGGAAAGGAAATCAGCAGCACTGTGCATGGCTGCATCTCTTTTCACCTCTCTTCCACCTCACCCAGGGATTCGAACAGCAGTAGGAACCGATGGCTCTTGCTGCTGTCAATCAAATGCAGTAGAGAGAGAGTGTGTGTGTGAGTGTGTCAAGTCTGAAGCACGGCTCCATAGACACACAAGTCGGGAGTGAGCACCACCATGTGCTCCCTAGCAAATGGCTTGCTATGGGGACACACAAAGAAGAGGAAGAGCCAAGGTCGCCGGCAGGGGACCACTGAAAAAGTAGGATCGGGGCCACTCTGTGCAATACCATTGCAGAGCAGGGAAGTAGAACAGGTTTGTTATTTAAATTTTTTTTTTTTTTTTTAAAAAGGTCAGACTTTAGTAACACTTTAGGATATTTATCTCAATTGGAATGGGTCAGCGACAGAGTCACTCCTTGTACTTACCTGGATTGCCTGTCTTGGGCCCATCATGCAGTCGTTGATGCAGCAAAACAAGCGAGGCAGCTCCATTGATCTGATTGGCAGAGTGAAGCATGGTTGCCTTGCACGCTCCATTTTTTAAACCTTGGACTAAGAAGTAGTAACTGCAATACTCCCCTTTAAGCTTAATCCCTGGAACTAAAGAACACAAGTGCTGATTATAAAGTTACAAATATAGAACACAGTAGTTGGAATGCAGAGCTTTCATAATGGATTCATAAACTTACAGTCCAAAACATAATTTACATAAAAGAACCACTAATACTGTTCACAAAGAAAGACCCTAAAGTGCCCCTTACTCTTCTTTTTTCCTATCCTTTCCATTTCAATAATTTTTATAAAGAAAGGCTATACAAAACACAAAATGCACATAGTTTCTTTATACACTGCCTAAATTAAAAAAAAAAAAAAAAAAAAAAAAAAGGGGGGGGGGGGGTTGCATAGAAAGTCCTTCTTATAGCTTCCAAATGATCCCTAGAGAACAATTGTAAAACTCAACTTCTAACTTTATTAGTCAGATGTTCAAAGTTAAAGGGTAACTCCACTTTTGTGGGGGAAAAAAAACAAATAAAAAAACAAACATATACACACACATACAGTTGTGTTCAAAATAATAGCAGTGTGTTGAAAAAAGTGAATAAAGCTCAAAATCCTTCTAATAGCTTTTATTTCCATCCACACAAATGCATTGGGAACACAACACATTCTATTCCAAATCAAAACATGAAGAAAAATATATCAAATTTGTGTTGTTCTTCTAAAAAAATTGAAGAAAAGTGAATATTAGACGGTTAAAAAAAATAGCACTGTTTGTATTCTTCTTTACAAACTCAAACATTCACTATATAAACTGAAAAATGTTTGAAGATTTTGCTTCCCTTTGAATGACTTAATGAATATTTGGTTGTAGTCGCACTGTTTCTGAGAACTGCTGTACATCTGTGTTGTATGGAGTCACCCAACTTCTGGCTCCTGTGATCAGGTATTTCAGCCCAGGATGATTGGACTACATTCCACAGTTCTTCTCTATTTCTTGGTTTTGCCTCAGAAACTGCATTTTTGATGTCACCCCACAAGTTTTCTATTGGATTAAGATCCGAGGATTGGGCTGGCCACTCCATAACGTCAATCTTGTTGGTCTGGAACCAAGATGTTGCACGTTTACTGGTGTGTTTGGGGTCGTTGTCTTGTTGGAACACCCATTTCAAGGGCATTTCCTCTTCAGCATAAGGCAGCATGACCTCTTCAAGTATTCTGATGTATTCAAACTGATCCATGATCCCTGGTATGTGATAAATAGGCCCAACACCGTAGTATGAGAAACATCCCCATATCATGATGCTTGCACCACCATGCTTCACTGTCTTCACAGTGTACTGTGGCTTGAATTCAGTGTTTGGGGGTCGTCTGACAAACTGTCTCCGGCCACTAGACCCAAAAAGAACAATCTTACTTTCATCAGTCCACAAAATGTTGCGCCATTTCTCTTTAGGCCAGTCAATGTGCTCTTTGGCAAATTGTAACCTCTTCAGCACACGTCTTTTTTCCAACAGTGGGACTTTGCGGGGGCTTCTTGCAGATAGCTTGGCTTCACATAGGCATCTTCTAATTGTAACAGTACTCACAGGGAACGTCACACCTTCTTTCATCTTCCTGGAGCTGATTGTTGGCTGAGTCCTTGCCATTTTGGCTATTCTTCTATCCATTCCAATGGTAGTTTTTCGCTTTCTTCCACGTCTTTCAGGTTTTGGTTGCCATTTTAAGGCATTTGTGATCATTTTAGCTGAGCAGCCTATCATTGTCTGCACTTCTTTATATGTTTTACCCTCTCCAATCAACTTTTTAATCAAGGTACGCTGTTTTCTGAACAATGTCAGGAAAGACCCATTTTCCTCAGAATTTCAGAGAGAAATGCACTGTAACCAGCATGTCCAACATTTGCTGCCTTCCTTCCTTCCTTAAATAAGGGCAATAATTGCCACCTGTTTTTCAAAGAATGAATGACCTCACTAATAGAACCCCACACGGCTATTATTTTGAACATGCCCCTTTCAATTAGTGATTCAATAACACAGAATCAGCAGCATGCATGTCATGACTGTTGGGTTTGTTGGATTTCTATTACTCTACTACACCTGCTAGTAAATTATTTGCCATGTAGAAATATAATTTCTACCAAAAACAGTGATTGATCAGGTTAGTGATGTCTGACTGCTATTATTTTGAACACACCTGTATATATGTGTATATATATATCTATATATATAGATATATATATATATATACACACACACATATAATAAATTGCTACACAAGTCCTATAAAATCCAATGCAATATGGCTTCCTGGAGGTGTCCTGTACTCAGATGCTTGTATGATTGGCTTACTGATTTTCCCAGATGTCTAAGATACCAGTCAGATTTTGGGCATACTCTGCAACAAACAATGTCACTTTAGAAGCAATTTCCCTTTGGGAGTATCTCACTAAAAGAGATACAGACCCTGGAACCTTCCTCATTAGAGCTCTGAAAGCTGATTGATAATTATAAAGTCACTTCCATACAAATTCACTTTGGACATGGACACAGACAAACAGCTATTTCTTCAGCAAAACAAAAGGTAGGAATCTGCAACATTTGTTAATATCCATGCAATATACAGAGATCACTTAGAAGGGGGTGTTTTTTTTTTTTTTGTGACCATTCAATGTACTGACCATGTTGTGGCTGAAGCCTCAACAATGTAAGCAAAACACAGATCAAAAACAGTTTCACTGCGGTCGTTTTTTGGATCTGTGCAAAGGTTTAGTTTTTTCACAGGTTTCTGCTCTACTACTGCTGTGTTAAACATGGATGCATGAACATGGAAAAACATGGATGCAACCACAGGGGGATTACTGGCATTTTCATAGCAATTTTAAATGTAATCTTGTTAATGACCTGTAACGGCCCAATGTCCGCCAGTGCTGACGACAAAGTCCCATAACTAAACCAAACCACTCCGAGGTTTCATTCTGACACAGAGAGCTGACAGCCAGAAATGACACCTTCCAGACCTCTCTCTAATAAACTGCGTGCAGTACTCAAATGGCATTGTAGAGGCCAAAGGATTTTCCGTCTTTAAAAGTTAACCAGCTCATGCCTTTTCTTTTGTATTTGTACTAGTTGCATTTTAAAACCTTCCTACCTGCACCTTGTGTTTTTCACCTGCACTGATCATGTAGTTTCATGGTGTCATATGTTGCTCTGTATGCAGAGTCTAGTAGAGTAAATCATCACACCTCTGTGTCCGAAATTTGTTTGTTACATAAAGCACGCGGCATGGCACTGCATAGGTGAATGCATCACCTTAGTATATATAGTCTAAGCACCAGATCACACCCCATGCTCCGTGTTCCTGTGTGATTCAGCTCAATTCAATTTTTCAACCATTAATTCATTTGAATGAGCTGAAATAGCACTGGCTCGCATCAAAAGTAGTGCATGCACTACTTTTAAAAACAAACATACTGCTACTGGATCACATGGTACTGCGGTACCATGAAATCTGGTGCAGGGAAAACAATCACACTGCAATTGGAATCTGCGTTGGTTTGGAGAGTCATTAGGAATCTATTGAAACCCACAGCAGATTGCACACCCAGTGCACTTGTAATGCGTTGCAGGATATGCTCACGCAATTGGAATGCGGGTTTCCAGCACCACGATCTAGTCTTAACGAGCTCAAAAGAGCCAATTGTGAAGAAACTACATATTCCCACAATCCCTGGGTTTCTCAGGCTAGTGCTGGGGCAGGTGAAAGCAATTAACAGAGCTTACCATGCTAGAAGAGATGTGGTTGTTTCATACAATTAGCACATATTTGTGATGCAACACAGAAATGGCTAGGCAGGCATGTGGCCCGGAATATGAAGCGGTTTGTCTTGCTGGTGAACAGGGACAAGTTTGCTGAATGAACACAGACATAGGGGAATCGATTAGCCTCCAAACTGCAGCCACATGTGAGCCCATCATTATAAGGCAAGGGATAATAACTACACCAATGCCTAGTTAAATCAAAAACATTTAAAACTGTACAATGCCTTTAAATATAATTAAAAATTCTCCTTTTTTGTTTTTTTTTTCCATAAAAATTTTTTTTTTACTTTTTAATTTTTACCCGGATTTCAGTTTCGACAATGGGCTATGCTATAGACAAACAAATGAAACCAGCACTTAAATCTTCATGCAGACCAGGGAATTGAGAATGCCAAAAACGAGGAGGTGCTGCCCTTCAAAGACTGGGAATCCTGAATACTGGTAAACAAAAACAGACAAGGGCGCACTCTCATCATGCATTACCGTGGAGACCCACGTATTTTATTAAATGAAATAAAATATACTCACAAACCAATGAGAATAAAAAAAACAGAAAAATGATCCGCAACAGCAGCGGATGCAATACTGTGCCCTTGGTGTGGATAATCTGACGCGTTTCGGGATTCAGTCGTTTTTGGTATTTAGGTCAGGGTCCAGCAGGCACACTTTTAGCTCTGAGGAAGGGATTCCGTTTCCCAAAACGCGTCAGCTTATCCACACCAAGGGCACAGTATTGGATCCGCTGCTGTTGCGGATCATTTTTCTGTTTTTTATTCTCATTGGTTTGTGAGTATATTTTATTTCATTTAATAAATACGTGGGTCTCCATGGTAATGCACGATGAGAGTGCGCCCTTGTCTGTTTTTGTTAATGGGCTATGCTGCAGAGATCACAAATCAGAATGCTCACCTTTGATGTCTTTTGGCTTCCTGGACATGTACTCCTTCCACTTCCTTGAACTACGCTGTGACTCAGGAGGTAGAGGAAGACTGCACACATTACATGACAGCAGAAGTACAGCCCCGACCTGGAATAAACAAAGTACTGCATGATTTGCTTTACCGATTTAAAAATATGAATTCTAGCACAAAGGGAACAAAGAGGTTACCCCTCCAAAATGTCAGCCATTTCAAACTATCCTCAGACAGAAGTTGCACAACAATGTACAGCTTATTAACCACTTCCAGTCCGGACACTTTTACCCCCTTCCTGTCCAGGGCAATTTTCAGCTTTCAGTGTTATCACACTTTGAATGACAATTGTGCGGTCATCCAACACTGTACCCATATTACATTTTTGAGACAGATAAAGCTTTATTTTGGTGGTATTTATTCACCACTGGGATTTTTATTTTTTTTGCTATGTAAATTAAAAAGTCCAAAAATTTTGAAGAAAAAGTGTTTTTCTTATAAAATTTTGCAAATAAATAATATTTCATCATAAATCTTGGCAAAAATGTATTCCGTTATATTTTTAGTAAAAAAAAAATAACCCAAATTAGTTTATAACCAAAAATTATAATTTTTTAACTTTTTTTTTATTTATTTTACATACTGTCACCCTAGCAGTACAGTGTCACCATGGTGACACTGTACTACTTGTGGGAGGTGATGAATTTTTTTTTTTTTTACACTGATTGCTTTTACACCCATAAAGGATGTAAAGGCAATAATTTCTCCTTCTCTCTGGCTGCATTCTTGAAGCCATTGAGAACTACTGAGTGAGCTGTGATTGGTCACAGCTTGTCACATGGTACAAGGCTGTTGTGAATAGCCTTGTACCATGTGACCTCTGTGATCATTCACAGATTTCACATGTAGTAAGCAATGATGTCAGAAGTGACATCTTGCTTACTACTCTGCATGTGATCACTGATTGGCCAATCAGTGATCACATGATCGGGACCTCGTACAGAGGTCCCGTCCGTCCGACAGTGGGCACCGGATCGCGGTGCTGCGCGCTCCCAGGGAGCGCACACAAGCAGGGTGCGGGGAGGCCGTTTATAAACGGCCACCCGACCCTGCACTGCCACCGTCCGGCAGTTTGTATACAACGGCCGGATGGGAGGTGGTTAAAGCAGATCTTGCAGTAAAATGCAGCACTTCCTGGACATGAGAATTTGTAAAGCTGTCTACCTTCTCTGACTTTTCTTCCCAAGTCTCTTAATATCATTGCCCCAGAAGCATGATGACCTGTGAACTCCACTCTCTGTTTGGCTCTTTCCATACAGCTACATAGTGGGTGAGAAGTGATGATTCTCAAATGACTAGAATAACTCTTTGGAAGAGCCAGTGAAGACTTGGCTATGTGTCAAATCACACTGCAAGAGTAATGATACTAAACCCAATAACAAAAAATGTATTATATTGCAGCTTACCAGTGCTTACACACAGTGGCTGCATTTCTTATTTCCCCTTTATTTTCACCTGGTGATCCTGTCAGTAACACTTCCTGTCCTAAGAGAACAATGCTCACTCACTGTACCGCATCTATGAAGGCGCAGCGGTATCCCCTACGGCTAAAAGTGTGTTGAGACTACAAAACACCTGCCCCTCTTTGTATCATAGTGTAGGAGTTCTGTAGTCCAAAAGAGAACTGGGCAGGGCTACTAAACACTAATTGCCTGTGCTCTACTGAAATACCACAGTGCACAGGAATTTAGGAGCTCACCGGATTTTTTGAAGGATCATCAGGTATTTCTCTGTACTTGTAACCATTTTAAAAAGAGACAAAATATGTGGAAATATGTATAGATTTGAAAGATTTACTCCATGTTTTTTCAATATAAGCTTTAAAAATGCCAGTCCAAATAATGTCAACTAAAAAAGTGCAAAAGAAAGATATTAAATATAATATTGTGGAGACCCATTCAGCCAGGTACCTTGTCATTCAATGAGCACAACTGATCCAGCATCAGCTTAGATTTTCCTTGCAGTGAATTTCTTGTCAGACACCTGATGGTAGTTAAAGAAATGAAGAGTAAAGTGACCCTGACCTAGATATCTTTTAAAAGCTCATGTTTCAGGCTGTAAGGCAGCGGTTCTCAACCTGTGGGTCGCGACCCCTTTGGGGGTCGAACAACCCTTTCACAGGGGTCTCCTAAGACCATCAGAAAACACATATTTCCGATGGTCTTAGGAACCGAGACACCGCTCCGCTATCAGTATCCAGGCGGGTCCGCCCACATGCAGATACGTCCACATTTCCCTGGACCTCGATGTGTGCGCGGGATTACATGCCGCCCCTGTCATCTGGCCACATCCCCAGGATCACTCAACAGCTCCGCCTCCTCGCCAGTGATTGGCCGCCGGAACTGTAGCTCAGGAGAGGCACACAGGCGGCCAATCACTGGCAAGGAGGAGGAGCCGAGCAGCAGCATGAAGATCAAAGAAGATCAAGCAAGGGAGCGGCTGGAGAAGGAAGACAGCTGACAGGTAAGTGTCTGTAGCGTGCAGATGGTGCTGCTGCAGCCAGGTATGCTGGCTGTAGATGGGAGAGGGAGGGGAGCGAGCCCAGGCTGGAGCAGGAGTTAGCAAGGTAAGTATCATTGGTGTCAGTAGGAGGAATAGTGCCCCATCATTGGTGTCACGAACACCAATGATGGGGCACTATTCCTCCCACTGACACCAATGATGGGGCACTATTCCTCCCACTGACACCAATGATGGGGCACCATTTCCCCCCCCCCCGGCCCCCACTGACCCCAACGATGGGGAATTTTTCCTCCCCCCCTTTCACTGACCCCAACGATGGGGCACTATTCCTCCCCCCCCACTGACCCCAACAATGGAGCACTATTCCTCCCCCCACTGACCCCAACGATGGGGCACTACTCCTCCCACTGCAAAATTACAGTTATGAAGTAGCAACAAAAATAATTTTATGGCTGGGGGTCACCACAACATGAGGAACTGTATTAAAGGGTCGCGGCATTAGGAAGGTTGAGAACCACTGCTGTAAGGGGATTAGATTCTGTCCAAGTGGGGGTTAAACCCTACCTTCCCTGACTGAGCTCCATCTCTGACCTCTGTTTTTTTACAAAAAGGCACTCTAAGCAAGTAGAGATATGTGACATTGTAAGGGTTGGACAAAGAGCTAAAGGAATTCCACCTGCTAATGCTCCTTTACACTGCACCTGGCTGCGGGTTGCAGAGTTCCACGGAGAAGCTCGTGCCCTGTGCAGTAGTGTTTGGAAGGGACAGAGCAGGTGCAGAGAGGACAGGGAAGCAGGAGAGTAGCTTTAATGACAGGTTATTTCTCTCTATAGAAGCATGTGGGTGCCAACTGGGAGCATGCATGCCAAGGAGGCTTAATGGCAACCTGCAAGGTGATGGACCCACCTGAGAACAGTACCCAAGAAGAAAAGAATTTTGAGATGCGGAAAGCAAAAGCAGACAATGGCTTAAATCAACAATTACAAAGCAAATATGGTTGCGGTCTGACTGCTGAGAACGGAGTGGTCAAAAACTGCTGATTGTTCAGTTCTCAGTCTTCAGACAGATCATAACGGTCAGTCAACAGCTTTTCACTCTGCCCCTCCAGCTCTCACTGGAGCACTAGGCTGTAGTGGGGGGGGTGTGGCTAGTTCAGGCTCTCAGTGGCTCGCTGAGAGGCTAACCAGCTGCCGGTCAGGCTTCTGGGCAGATACCGACAAAACGGTCAGGATCCTTGCAGAGTATGGAGCAGCTCTATGGTGTCAGCTGACAGAGGGTTTTAGTCTACAGGACAGGCAGTCAAGGACACAGAAGGAAAAAAAAAAAAAAAAAAACATTTGACAGTGGTTTCAAACTTTACCTTTAGATGTACTTTAAATTAGTAAAAAAGCACTATATAGAGGACTGTTAGCATTGTCACAGGAGCAGAATCGCAAATAATAATAAAAAAAACAAACAGAGCTTAGGAAACCAAGGATACAGTTCATATACATGGTCCGATATGAAATATTTTGGAAGTTCTGACATCTCCACCATTTGTACAAACTGCAATGATGTGCCATAGTAATGGAAGACCTGTTAAAAGAAGCATAAATTAAGCGTTAATCAAACTTCATCATTCTATTTGTAGGAGGATGTGTGAGTTCAGTCACTGTTGCTTCCTAGTTCTCTCTACAGTATCTGGCAGATAGGTTTCCCCTTCCAATTTTCAAGTAAATTCAGTGCACAAAGGTTTTACCCTTGCTGTATGATTCTCATTTTAGAATAGAAATTATATATAAAAACCTACTACTTGACATTCAGACAAAAACAACATTACACGCACGCACGCACGCACACACACACACACACACACACACACACGCATTTGGGCTGCCTGCTTTTACACGCACATGAACTTTAATGGCCCCCCAGTCTTAGTCCGTAGGGTTCAATATTGAGTTGGCCCCACCCTTTGCAGCTATAACAGCTTCAACTCTTCTGGGAAGGCCGTCCACAAGGTTTAGGAGGGTGTCTATGGGAAGGTTTGACCATTTTTCCAGAAGCGCATTTGTGAGCTCAGGCACTGTGGCACATGTAACATGTTCCGAATGCTGCAGCCACTGCCTAATGGCACCTTTGCCCATCCTGTGACAGTCACTACTCTAAGCAACAAAACACACAACACACACATCTCCATAGTATCAACAGTGTTGTAATGCCTGCATTTTCGGGGAGTGTGTCTGGAACAGCTGATGGTTTTAACCATTTCCATACCGGGCACTTTTACACCTTCCTGCCCAGGCCATTTTTCAGGTTTCAGCGCTCTCACACTTTGAATGACAATTGCGCGGTCATACAACACTGTACCCAAACTAAAATTTTATCATTTTCTTCACACAACTTAGAGCTTTCTTTGGTGGTATTTAATCACCGCTGGGGTTTTTATTTTTTGCTAAATTAACAAAAAAAGACAGAAAATTTTGAAAAAAAAAAAAAAACCACGTTTTTCTTTGTTTCTGCTATAAAAGTTTGCAAATAAATAATTGTTCTTCATAAATTTAGGCCGAGATGTATTCTGCTACAGGTCTTCGGTGAAAATAACCCAAATTAGGATGTATTTTTTAGCTTGTAGGAAAGTTATAGAGTTTACAAACTATGGTATAGATCTGAATATTGATCAGTCCTGAAGTACTGACAGCCAAACTAATTTCTTGAGGTCCAAGAATGTCAGAAAAGTACAGATATCCCCCAAATGACCCCTTTTTGCAAAGTAGACAGTCCGACGTACTTCATAAGAGGCATGGCGAGATTTTTGAAGTTGTATTTTTGTCATAATTTTTCGGAAAATTAAAAAAATGTAAAAAAATATTTTCACTATTTTTTTTTTTTTTTTACATACTGTCACCAGTGCAGTACAGCGTCATCATATAACTAGCATGGCAGTGATCAGGGACACTGACTGGTGACAGTATGAAAAAAAAAATATATATATAATTTGTTTTAATATTGTTAATTTTTTATTACATATTTTTCTCTTTTTTTTTAAAGATTTTTTTATATTTCACTATGACCAAAGTAGTATAATGTTACCATAGTAACATTGCACTACTTTGGGGAAGTGATCAGTATTTTTTTTTTTTTTTTTTTTTCTTTATACAATTTGCTTATAGCAAAGAATTACTTTGCTATAAGCAAGCATTTACCTGAATGACATTGATTCATTCAGGGCTTGTTTTTCTTCTTTTTTTTTTTTGGAGCTTAGCTGTGATTTGGCCACGGCTAATCACATGACACAGCTGGGCTGTGATTAGCCCAGCTTGTGCATGTGATCGCTGTGACCATTCACAGCTAGCCACACTAGTATACAATGGATGGCATGAATGAAGCCATCCATTGTATACAACTGTCATGTGACCTGCTGTGATTGGTCACAGCAGGTCACATGGTACCGGCAACGGGGCCGGTACTCAGATCTGTCATCGGCCGTGTCCGAGGTACACGGCCGGTGACAGTGCAAACTGCGCATACCCGTGAGGACGCCATATGGCGTCCACCCGGAACGCTGAAGGATTTTGCTGGCCGCCAAATGGCCATTGGCCAGGCAGCTAATGGTTAAAGTTAAGTTTCACTAGGTTTACACGTGATGAATGGAAAAGTTCATTTTGAAAAGGCTGCGGCTAGCTTTAGGGCTCTCGTTCACTCAATGCTGCAGAGACATCAGTTTTTCTGTACACGTTCTGCTAGGGCACAACAAAATCAGTTCTCTATGTGCCCTGTTCACACCACAGCACTAATATCACATGCAGATTTTTTCTGTGCACTCTTCAACGTGTCTAAAACTCATTGAGGAGCGCATGAAAACTGATGTCTCTGCAAGTGAGATCTGTGCATCAGTTTTTTCAGCATGGATGGTGTGAACGAGGTCTGCTTAAAGATACTGTCTTGGAATGAACACAAATCAAATGCTACAATTTATCATATATCCCACAATCGAACATACATACCTCAGGTAGTACAAAATTCTTGTCCTTATGGCGATTTATCATACTGCTGTGTCTCAGGAAATGTGATGGGGTAACAACATCACAAGAAGATCTCAGACAAAAATCTGGAAATTCTACTTCTGAACTAAGCTGAAAATAAAACATTTCCATGGTAAGTCAATATTAAAGGCAAGCCAAAAATAAAGTATTGAATATTATTTAAACTTTAAGTATACAAGAACTCACACAAACAAGTATCCCACAGGGGGCCTACAAGCACCTTCACCCTTCCTTTTGATATTTACATCAAACCTAAAACATGGGGTGCTAGAATTTGCACATTTTGATATCAAGTCAGTCTAGATCTGGCCCACTCCTTCCTGCAACTTGCTATTACTTCCGGTGGCTGCCGATCATGTCGAAGAACAAATAAAGAGATGCAGAAGATGTGTTGAGATTGAGGAGGAGCACCACCTCAATTCTCTGCATATCAGAGCCTCAGATTTTGGGTGTAGTTAAGGGTAACTGTCACTAAATTTCAAACCCAAAACCTATACTTGATGCTTAAGAAACAAAAACAACATCATAAAAAAAAAATTTACCTTACGCTCATATATTTCAGTAGAGCCTCTCCATAACTCTTGTGGATCAACTGAATTCCTAAGACATTCAGGGGCAACTATAGAAGCAGAAAGGTAATTCGATATCTTGTGCCACCTGCAAGAATGCATACTTTAAGGTAACTTACACTTTTATCAAATTACTTCTCATAAATAAACCTTTGAAAACGAAATATCTTAGTGATTAAAGAAACCTATGCCAATAGAAAAGCTCCTAAAATGCCAATTGCCGGTCTAGCACTGCTGATCCAATGGCTTCACGGACCTAAAACCAGGATGCAAATTGAGAGTTCTAGGTTTGCTCTGCCTTCCAAGGGTCATGCTGCATGTTCCAGGCCAGTGATCCCAAATGCACAAAAGAGTTAGAGGATCAGGTATAGCTAACAGGCAAAATAACATTTTTAGAAGGAAGTTCGTAATAGTGGTTTCTGTATTTCAATTTTGGCCTTTGAAAGTCCAGCATAGCAAGAAATATAGTCTGATAAGGGCAGTTAACATGTACCTTGCCGTTCCTTGCATGATCCCATCTAACAGTATCTGCACAAAGCGACTGCCCATCACAGCTCTCTAGCAATCACTAGATAGCCGACGTAAAAATCCACTTTGCCTTAAGAATTCAGATCTGCAATGTGTGTGTATGGAGAGTGTACTTAAAACACACAATATCTCTCCTTTCCCGAGAAGTCTGAATTATTATTTAACAAAACATTTCAGTAAATCATTTTCATTGTATCTGGACAGAATTAACGACTTCCTGTCCGGACACTTTTACCCCCTTCCAGTCCAGGGCAATTTTCAGCTTTCAGCGCTATCACACTTTGAATGACAATTGCGCGGTCATGCAATACTGTACCCATATGAATTTTTTACCATTTTTTGGAGACAGATAAAGCTTTATTTTGGTGGTATTTATTCACCGCTGGGATTTTTATTTTTTTTACTATGCAAGATGAAAAAGTCCAAAAATTTTGAAAAAAAAAGTGTTTTTTTATAAAATAAATAATATTTCATCATAAATCTTGGTCAAAATTTATTCCGTTTTTTTTTAGTAAAAAAAAAAAAATCCAAATTAGTTTCTAACCAAAAATTATAATTTTTAAACATTTTTTCTTACATTTTTTTATTTATTTTTTTTATTATTTTTAATTTTTTTTTACATACTGTCACCCTAGCAGTACAGTGTCACCATGGCCAATCAGTGATCACATGATCGGGACCTCGTACAGAGGTCCTGTCCGACGATCGGTGTTTCACTGTGTCCGGAGGACACAGCGGGCACCTGATCGCGGTGCTGCGCGCTCCCAGGGAGCGCACACAGCTAGAAAAGGCGGGTGCCATTTATGAACGGCAACCCGCCCCTGGACTGCCACCGCCCTGCCGTTTATAAACAGCAGGCGGACGGCAAGTGGTTAAGGGATATCTGAAATAAGGTAAAGTAAACTTTTACAGAGCAATTTACATCTGCTGTCTGGAGCAGTCGAGGTACCCTGGCTGCTTACACCATGTATCCCAGGCTCTGCTGTCTAACCTGCAGAGCCAGGACGGCCAAAGGTGGGTGGAACAGAGGGAGACCAGTGAACATTCATTCACTGATCTCCCATTCAGCGAATCATCAGGGAAACGACGTGTAGATTACATCACTTCCAGGTTCGTCTGTCATTTTCCCCAACTGCTGTGGCCAAGGGAGAATGGAGTATGATCTATGCTATCACTTTATTAGCTTTAGTGGAAGGCAGGGGAGACATCAGGGGTTTAGAGTGGTAGAAAAACTCGCTTTTTATACTTTTACCTACAGATAAGCTTACTAGTAGGTAAAATGAATATCTCCTAAACGTGCACCATTGAGGAGATATTCGTTCTTTTTGAGAGCTGGCGCATGGGTTCTCAAGGAACAGCATACTCGTGCCTTTCCTTCCGAGCACTGTGCTGTGGCCTGGGACTCCCGCATGCATACGCGGGAGTGACATCATCGTGGCTTGGCCAGTCAGAAGGCTGGACCTCGCAAACCCAGAAGGAAGACCGGGTGAAGACTGAAACCTCTCCAAGGTGACGGCGTGCCGCTGGAGGGTTTCTTTTTAAGGCAAGTCCTTCATAATGTGCTAGTATGTGATGCATACTAGCACATTATGACATTACCTTGCAGGGGATTTTTTTATTTTTCACCTTTAGCTGCAGTTTACTACCGCTTTAACAGATCCCAGATGTCTCAGTAAAGAGAAACTGTCACACCTAAATTGTCCCCCCCTTTGTGATAGCTATAAAGTTCATTATAAAAAATAAATACATGTAAATAAAAGCTTGTAAAAAAAGTAACAAGAAATTTTAAAAGTTCATGTCCCTACAGGTTTGGTATGTTCGGTATCAATTTATGTGTTGCAACCTCATCTTTTATAGAAAGGTAGGCAACCTTAAAGAGGAGGAAATCTACCTGAACAACATGAGAGAAGTAAAAAGATCAGCAGGCAGTGTCCCCTCCTCACAACTGATTTAAACGTCTAATTGCCGTACTACCGTGTCACAATCGCATACATTGCACAGCATTCATGGGTTTAAATCAGGTAGTGAGGAAGCAACCAATCGCCTCCTCCCTACCTGTCAAACACACTCGGATCACTTTTCAGGAGGAGCAGCAGTGCCTACTTCACTAGTGAATGTGCCCTTAGTTGCATTCAGCAGCAGCACCCTTAGGGCTCATTCAAACGGAAAGTTGGGGGGTGGTAAAAGCCTGCAACTGAGTCAGGGTTTTACCACCCCCAATCCCTACCCCATTTAACTACTGAGGCAGCAGTCAAAGGTGTACACAGTAATTAACCCCCCTGTTGCTTTTAGTGGATGCCAGCACCTGCCAATCACAACCCATTCAAGTAAATAGGGCCACTCTGCATGTGTCTCTATTATGTCCAGTGTATTGTTTCACACTGACCTGAATATTTCTTATTCCCTGGTCCACTATGGAGACCGCTAGCCGGGATAAGATGTGCAGTGCAGTTGGTATCACTCCACATGGGACAGGAGCCAGCACTACAGATGAGGCATCGGCTTATGTGGCTCTTGATCCTCACTATAACTCCTACTTTACGTTTAAGTCCCTCTGCATTGCACTCTGTTTGATGGTCTGGAATGGCAGGTCCGCAAGCCTAGACCAGTCACCTGGCCGCAATCTACTAGTAGATCGTGATCTACAGGTTGCTGACACTCGCCTTATAGTTTACAAAAAAGAAAACAAGTCAAATATTGTGTTTGTGTGCACGAAAAATTAAACTTTGCTGTATTTCTTCAACTAAAAAATTTGGGTTGCACCGATTCCTGAAATCAATACTTCAGGCTCGGTTCTTTCAGATGTCAGCGGGAGCACAGGGGGGGCAGGGACACTGATAGAAATAAGCAGTGACAGGTCCTCTTCATGGAGAGATATGGGGTCAATAAAACCCTACATTCTCTCCTCTACAATGTTAAGCATTAGTTTAAAAAAAAAAAGCATTGGTCTAGAGCTAAGAAAAAAAAAAAAAGAGCAAAGAGGTGAGCGGAGGCCATCTTTCCTTCACTGATCTCTATGCCCAGTGCCGGGGGGGGGGGGGCAGCTCTTTTTATGATGCCTGTATATGCCTATATTAATATTGGCTGAGACATCTCCGCCACCCAAACTTTTGGTGCATCCCCACTATATACAATACAATCTGATCGTGCAATCTCTGTGTGGTCTCCTTTATGTTTACCAAAGCAATATAATAGGACGACACACCTATCTTTTCAATCACTCTGTATTCAATGGTGAATTTTACAGACTTCTCCTGTTTTCAATACTAATCTCTTAGCCACTGCACACTGCCAAATGAGCACTCTTTGCAAGATGAAGGTAAGGTAGAGAAAAAAAAAAAAAAAAAAAAAAAAAAAAAAAGTTGATGGCTGTGTATCTAGTGAGCACAGTGATTGCGGATTGCACTGGAAAAGTATGAACCTGCAAAGGTGGGCGGGAGCAATCTCCTGGAGGGGCAGGGCAGTTCCAGGGCGTATGGTAATGAGGTCAGCTGGTGAACTACTTCCTTCTACTGGTTTCAAATACCAAATTCTGCATGGCTAATGGAGGAGTTTTCAACAAGACACTGAGGCTGAGGTAACGCCTAGTCTAGAACAAATGGAAAGCTTTTTCTTTTCCGCAAAAGCACATTAACGGTATTTTGGAACTTAAGGCCGCTGGAATTTTGGAATTTAGGTGAACTTAGCCTTTAAAGTGTACATGAATACAAAAACTTTTCTTTTAGGTTTGCAATCTTGTACTAAAAAAACAAACAAACAAACAACAACACACAGGAACCGGATCCCTTTCTACAACCAACTCAGACCCACACTTCTAGTTTCAGCCTTACCCCTTATTTTCTCTGGTCACAATCGTTATCTTGGCCGCATGCCATTCTCTCAGGTGTTTGATTGCCCCCAGTGCAAGTAAACACTCCTTCAACTTTGGAACATCTGGAGAGATCAGTAGGATATCCACCAATGCTTTCCCTGTATACCAGAACATACAATATAGCTTTAAACAGTGACACACATTGATTGGTTTATGCTTCCCCCTTTAACCAGCTGCTATGGCACTGCAGCCACAGTAGTGACATACCAGCCAGTGGGGGTACACAGGCATCAGAGACTTGAGGAAGAACCTTAGATGCTGAAGATTCTACAGTTGTTGCAGCTATTCAAGAAGATAGGGATATGGCATCGGAAGAGGAAATATTCAACTTATTTTTTTTTTAAAGCGGAGTTCCACTCACTCTAAATAAATAAAAGTTAGCAACTACAAAAACTGTAGCTGCTGACTTTTAAAAAACAGCCACTTACCTGTCCCACGATCCTGTGTTGCCCCCACCGTCCTGTATTCCAGGCGCCGGCATCTTCAGTGTGGGCACCCGGCTGTGACAGCTTGTGGCTTCACAGCCAGGTGTCCACTGCGCATGCACGAGTAGCACTGCACTTCCTGAATGGCCCCGTCTTCTGGGACCTGTCACGTGTCCCACAAGACTTTGGGGAGGGAGGGTAGGAGGACAACTTCCATTTCCGATCGCCTAGGCGATCGCAACAGAAGTAGGAGCGGGTACCTGTCAAATTCAGGTACCTGCCCCCCTCCCCCGATCCCCAAAGGTGCCAATCCTTAACGGGGAGCAGGGGAGCAATCTTTAAAGCTGAACGTCCCCTTTTGGGTGGAACTCCGCTTTAACCGCTTACAATGAACAGATATCTCACCAGCAAAAGCGGTGGTGTGGAAGAGAAATACAGACTCTAGACCAGGGGTGGGCAACTGTGGCCCTCCAGCTGTTGGTGAACCAAAAGTCCCATCATGCCTCTGCCTTTGGGAGTCATGCTTGCAACTGTCAGTTTTGCAATGCCTCATGGATCTTGTAGTTCTACAACAGCTGGAGGGCCGCAGTTGCCCACCCCTGCTCTAGACTTTCGGGGTGAGATATCTGCTCACTTTGATACAAATTGGATGTGGTGCATTGTAACCACAATCTCCTCTCCACTCAAATAGTTTTTCAACTTTTTAATCTGGCAGCAGAAGACTTCACAAGTCTTTCTCCCAACGAAATGGTATATGAAATAGACACCGACTTTCATACATTTTACTACTGCAGCTGAGCAAGTCCATGTGTTAGGCTACAGAAATGTAACTGTGAAGTCTTATTCGCCCTAATTTCTAAATCTATGGATTGTATATTTTCTTGAATAACAGGTCATTTTTACATTGGATGTTAGTGGGATAGTCTGCAAAATATTGCATTTTGCTTAATATTTCTATAAAAACAAAATAGATATATTTTCCTGAGGCTAATAAGTATCATGAAAATATGACTTCCAAACCAGATGTCTATCTTTCATAACAAAAGTGAAGGAGAAAAAAACATTACCTGGTGCAGGAAGCTTGTCGGCCAACTGGTGAAGTGACTCCGCACATTCTTCATACAAGCTGACAGTGTTGAGAGGGAATGGATTGAAAAGCAAAGCTCATTAAAAAGGTTTATGTAAGATGCTATAATTTTGTGCATTTGCCACGCTAAATGATTAGCTATGAAAATGATTTGACACATACAGGGCCACCAGACTTGTCATTCCTTAAAATTAGTAAACTCCACCAACCCCCACCCTGGTCAGCTCCAAATATCCAAGAGCTTCTTATGAACACAGGTATCAAAGCATTCAAAATATATCTATGACAACGAATGCTTTTAGGAAAACTGTTAGGATTCTTTTTTTTTGTTGAATTTTTAGGATTCTATTTAAAAGCATATGAAAAGTCAAGCAAATAAATGTACTTAATTGCAGCCTACCAGTCCTTAGGTGATTTTTCACCCTTATTTTTACCTGGTGATTATGGTGAAATATTAAAAAAAAAAAAAAAAAAACTTACTTTCTGTCCTAGGGTGGCCACACTCACTCAACCCCACTGTATCTATAGAACAAGCCATGGCTGTCAGTCAAACTGGACTTTAACCACTTGCCCTCCAGAGGATTTACCCCCCTTCCTGACCAGGCCATTTTTTGTGTTACGGCGCTGTGTTACTTTAACTGACAATTGCGCGGTCATGCAACGCTGCACCCAAATGAAACTTATGTCCTTTTTTTCCCACGAATTGAGCTTTCTTTCGGTGATACTCAATCGTCTCTGTGTTGTTAATTTTTTGCGCTATGAAACAACAAAAAAAAAAAAAAAGCACTGACAATTTTGAGAAAAAAAAAACAATATTTTTGACTTTTTGCTATTAAACATGTCCAGTATAAAAATTAAAAAAATAAAAACAAAAAAAACTCAAACTTCGTCATAAATTTAGGCCAAAATGTATTCTGCTACATGTCTTTGCTAAAAAAAAAAAATCCCAATACATGTAAATTAATTGGTTTACTTATAGCAGGACTGCAGCGGGCATTCTGACACTGGGGGGAACCAAGTCACTGACATCCCAGGTGACACCAATACAGAGATCAGTGCTAAAAAAACAAAATAGCACTGGGCAGGAAGGGGTTAACATGTGAGGCGATCAAAGGGTTAATTGTGTGCTGTTTTATTATGTGCTATGTGTTTGTGCTTCACTGCAAGCACACTGCTTTGCAAGGCTGTGTGCAGGAGCTGCCATGGAGGAGAACTGTTTTGTTTACCCCCCCCCCTGTCGGAGATGCTCTGCAATCTCCAGGCCACCGGCGAGAAATCAACAGCCGGGACCCAGAAATGCAAAATCATGTATATATATACACTTGATTTTGCGCACCCATGCCACCCTGTAGCAGTATTTCTGCTATAGGGCAGACGGGAAGCGGTTAAACAGGTCTTCATCTCCATTATACGGAAAAGGTGGAGGGAATATTAATTTACAGAACAAAGACCATTGTTTTTCCAGTCAGTTGACAATAAGTGACAAGGACATTGCATTTTCAGCAAGATCAGGATATGTATTTTCTGCACTTGCTGTAAAACCTGTCTTAGCCAAAAAAAAGAGAAAAGTAATGCAGCTGGTATGCTAAAGTATAGAACATTTTTGTACTTGGGTTTAGGGATCCTGATGCATTTGTGATATACCTGACAGGCCTTAATAATGCATTTACCATACATCTGATTGGCTATTGTTCCTTCTAAAAAAAAAAAAAAAATAATAGTTTGACTGTTACAAGTTCTTTGACATAGAAGTACTTCAAGTGCATCTCTAAATAATGTACTCCCATATACTTACAATATATTGTCAATGACAGCAGTTCAAGAAAGAAAAAAATAACAGATGGAAGGCAACTTGCATCCACCCGCATGCTAAGACCTCTAGGGTGGCATACGTCATGCATGCTGTACGCATAGAGACATTTTTTTATAAAGCTGTAAATCTGGCATTCACCAAATATTACCTGCAGGTGAATCTTACAAGTGCATGTGTTTTAAATGACAGCAATTAATTCACCAGCAGTGAACGTTATGTAAAAAGTCCAATTCACTGCTTTACAAATATGCCCCGCTCTAATCCAAGCTGAATTCCAGGCAGATTTAAAAATGCATAAAAACATAACCAAATGTATTGTGTAAATACAAGCAGTGTAAGTAATGTACTTGAATTTGACTTGGTATCATTACCCTGCAGTCCCTATACAGCACAGCTCAGAACGGAAGCAAGAAGCAGCACAAACAGTCAATCAGCTCTTCGCTGACAAGAAGCTTGCTGATAAAAAGGGAAAGCAGAGCTATAGACAAGATGAGCACCTTGCTTCTCCTTTTACTATATAGTTACAGGATAAGGTGGGTTCAAACCCGCCTGGTCTCTGAGAAATTGGGTTGAATGATGCTGGTCATCAGACTGATAACATCCTGAGGCAGAAAAAGTACTGCATGGAAATCCCTGGATTGCAGGTGGATATTGCAAACAAAAAAATCTTTTTAGTTATTTCATCTTTTAATAGGCTATTCTAATTTATCTTCTATTTTGGCTTCTGGAGTTCTGCTTAACCACTTCCCACCCAGCCTATAGTAAAATGACAGCCGGGCGCGCCCCTCGTCCCTCCGGGAGGGTATCATATGACGCCCTTGCCGGATTGCGCCATGCGCGTGCCCGCAGGGCCGCGCTGTGGTGAGACCTGTCACCGGCTGTGAACCTCGGACACAGCCGATGACAGATCTGTGTACTGGTCCCATTGCCAGTACCATGTGACCTGCTGTGACCAACCACAGCAGGTCATATGACAGTTGTAAACAATCGATGGCTTCCTTTCTTCCTAGATACAAGTGTATCTAGCTGTGAATGGTCACAGTGATTACATGCACAGACTGGGCCAATCACAGCCCATCTGTGTCATGTGATTAGCAGTTGCTAATCACAACAAAAAAACCTGAATGAATCGATTTCATTCAGTTAAATGTTTTGCTTAAGAAATTCTTTGCTATAAGCAATCAAATTGTGCAAAAAAATAAAAAATACTGATCACTTCCCCAAAGTAGTACAAGGTTACTATGGTAACATTATAATACTTTGGTCATAGTGTTTATATGGAAAAAAATCTTTAAAAAAGAAAAACAAATTAAAAAATAATTTACCATTTAAAAAAAAAAAAAAAAAAGAAGATAAATTGTTTTTTTATTCGTACTATCACCAGTCCGTGTCCCTGATCACTGCCACACCAGTTATATGATGACGCTGTACTGCAATAGTGACACAAAAAAAAAAAAACTCGCCATGCCTCTTATGAAATACATCGGACTGTCTACTTTGCAAAAAGTGGTCACTTGGGGGATATCTGTACTGTTCTGGCATTTTTGGGCCTCAAGAAATTAGATTGGCCGTCAGTACTTCAGGACTGATCAATTTTCAGATATATCCCTTAGTTTGTGAACTCTAACTTTCCTACAGACCAAATAATAAAATACTGGTTTGGGTTATTTTCACTAAAAGACATGTAGCAGAATACATCTTGGCCTAAATTTATGAAGAACAATTATTTATTTGCAAACTTTTATAACAGGATCAAAAAATAAAAATTCGGTATTTTTTTGTTAATTTTGCAAGAAATAAAAAACCCACTGGTGATTAAAGACCACCAAAAGAAATCTCTGGTTGTGTGAACAAAATGATAAAAATTTAGTTTGTGTACAGTGTTGCATGACCGCGCAATTGTCAAAGTGTGAGCAGTTGCAATTAGAGAAAAAAATAATTTTTATTCATGAATACAGAACTGCATTAAATTCATGGAGTGCGCACACATACATTCTTGTACAATCTCTTTTTGATTTGCCAAAAGAGAAGGTAATAAAGGAGATTATCTAGATAAGCCCTTGAACTACATAACTGCTGGTAAACCACAGTGGCTAAGTGGTTAGCACTCCCGCCTAGGAGCACTAGGGTCGTCGGTTCGACAGCACTACCTGCCTGGAGTTTGCATGTTCTCCTTGTGCCTGCGTGGGTTTCCTCCCACACCCCAAAGACATGCTGGTAGGTTAATGGACTCCTGTCTAAATTGGCTTTAGTTTATTATGAATGTGAGTTAAGGACCATAGGCTGAACTCTCCTTGAGGGTTAGGGACTGATGTGAATGTACAATATACTGTATTTAAAGCTCTGCATAAATTGACGGCGCTATATAAGTAACTAAAATAAATCAAATGACGATTGTACAATCAATCATAACATGTGGCCAGCCAGTTTTTCATTTCATACAAATGTTTAAAAAAAAGGACACAACACACCCAGTCTGGGACACAGAGTCCCTGCTGTCTTCATCATCTTCCTCTGAATTTTGCAGAGCGCACACACATTCATCAATAGCGCATGGAGGAGGTTCTGATCCATCTTCGGGTGATGTCACCAGGCTCAGATCTTCCCAATCAGAACTGGAGAACTAAAGAGTTTTATGCACAAGGGTTAAGAAATACCACTGGTCCTGCAAAAGTGCTGACAATCAGAGAACGAATATTCTTAGAAGGACAGCAAAGGATGCCCCCATAAGTCTCAAAATCATGCTAGTTACCAGTACATGGTAAGCCATGGTAACCTGTCCTACATGCATAGGATGTGCATTGATCATAGAGCTTCATATTGTCATTTGCTGCCCAGTACACTCAGCCTACAGTACAGCATACAGTATGGTGCCTTATCTCAAATTTTTTTGATGGTGGTGGATTTCAAGTGTTTGGGTGGAACTTTAATATTTCACTAAAATGTTTTTTTTCCTTTCTTAAAAACACTTCGCAACAAAAAGTCCCTGTGATGCATTTTTTTGGTGACTAAAAGCTCACTTTAATGAAACATCAGGGTTCTAAAAGACCTCTGATGTCTCACCTGTCCTCCACTGAAGCCATTCGAACACAGAAGATACTGGAAAGCCAGTAGCCAGGGTGTGTGTAAGTGATCAGGTGGCTGTACAGCCATTGGACCGCTTCCATCTGCAAGCAGGCTTGTCAGATTAAGGGCTCGTTCACACTTGGCTGTTTTACCAACGCTTGCCAAACGCCCCTATAGCGTTTGGCAAGCGTTGGTCCAGCGTTTGCGAAGCGTTTTTTAAAACACTCGGAAAACGTTACGCAAACGCCGCATGCGCGGTTTGGCGTCGGTTGCTAGGCGTTTGCCGAGCGTTAAAAACGCCCCACAAACGCCTATAATGCAGTTTGAATGGTGTTACCGCTCCGCAAACGCCGGCCGGGCATTTGCAGAGCGGCACCATAGACTACAATAGGAGGCTTCAACGCCTCCTGACTCGACCAGAGGCGTCCGTTTTGCCGCCACGCAAACGCTCCCGTTAGAACAGCACCATGTGCTGTAATGTGCAGAATTGGCAGAGGCGTTTGGGAAGCAGTAAAAACGCTTCCCAAACACCTCTCTGCCACCTGCACACAACGCTAGTGTAAACGTAGCCTTATAAACACTCCTGGCAGCTGCAGCCACTAGAAGTATGTGAAAAACACCCAAAACCACCCATGTAGTTTCCATTTCAGTGGCAGCAAAAGGGTTACAAGTTTTGCCCCCAAAGTGATTTCTTACATATTTTTTCAGCACATATTAAAGCATGCATTTTTTTTTTTTTAAACTACAAGTGCATTACAAACTCACCTACCCTCACTGACTTCTTCACCCTATCTTCTTACAGATTTGGGATCTTAATCCAACTTCATTGGCCAAGCCGGAAGGGCACAACTCCCATGCACGTGCATAGGAGCTCATTCATTCCAGCACAGAGGTGCATGCACCAGTCAGTGTACAGGCAGGTAAGCTTTAGTGCAGGAGAGCGCTAGCATGTCTCTTTTGCACTAAAGAGAGTGTTTGCTTGGAATTAAACTAAAAACAATAGCATTTTAACCTTCATCTTGTGTTAGGGTCAGCACCGACCCGTTTTTAGGTTTTAAATGCATAAAATAACCATATAAATTTGTTTACTGCATCAAGGCTTTATGACTTTGTCAGGAACCTCTATTTCAACAAAATAAAAAACAAAAAATTGTTTTCACTAAATTATAAAATGCTCAAATTGAAATTATGACTTTTGTGTTGTTAGGGTCGGTTTCGACCCAGTTCTAAAAATAAGATTATAAAGCAATAATTAGAGCCAAAACTGAAATCATAAGTTCACTGTCAACCAGCACACTGACAGCCAGCTCCTCTCCCAATCATGTGAGCTTTAGGGGATTCTCATTTTGCCTTGTTTTCCAGTATATCTGCACAAAAACAAAGACGGCCATGTCCGGACATGTGAGGCCAATTCAGTATAGAATTGGTGACTTGCCGAGTGCACATCTCCAATCTGTAGCATGCAAAAATGAGAAGAAGATTTTCATTGAGCCAAGTTCTGGATAATATTTTTGGTGAAAATGAGGGAGAGGACACAGAGGAGCATAGTGATTTGGATGAGCAGGTTTCTGAGGAGGAAGACAATGTGGAGTATCATCCAGAAGACACAGACAAATCTGATGAGTCTGATGAGGAGGCCACCAGTGCTGAAGCTGCTCCCGCTAAAATATTCAAGTCCAAAAATGGTAAGATCTGTTGGAGCTCAGTACCTCCTGATGTACATGGCAGGGCAGTTGCTGCAAATGTCATCAAAATGACCCCTGGAATCCCAAGGCTTGCTGTGATGAGAGTCGGTGACATCAAGACATGTTTTGAGCTATTTATGCCATTGTCACTAAAAAGAGTCATCATTGCTATGACAAACCTTGAAGGAAAAAAAGTCCATGGCAGCATGTGGAAAGACATTGATGAGGAATACCTGGATGCCTATATTGGTGTTCTAATTCTTGCTGGAGTGTACAGATCCTGCAATGAGACCACTGATAGTCTGTGGGACGCATCGACAGGCAGAAATATTTTCCGGGCAACAATGTCATTTCAGACCTTTCAAATGATATCAAGAGCCCTCAGATTTGACAACAGAGATACCAGAGCAAGATCTGACAAGCTTGCCCCATCAGGGATGTCTGGGAGAGATGGGTGCAGCTCCTTCCACTGATGTTTAACCCTGGGCCAGAGGTGACAGTGGATGAACTTCTTCTCCCTTTCCGAGGAAAATGCCCTTCCGGCAATACATAGCCAGTAAGCCAAGGAAGTACAGCATAAAAATCTGGGTAGCCTGTGATGCAAAAACCAGCTATGCCTGGAATCTTTTATTAGTGTTGGAACAAGTAATTGATTTCTATTGGTTTGATTTGCTTGATTGGTTGTTGTTTGTTTGACCTTGCAAATCTATATTTGGTTAGATTTATGAGATATATATATATATATATATATATATATATATATATATATATATATATATTTGTTCTGTTTTTCATTTTGTCGTTGTACTAAAGTTCTATTGCTGAAAAAAAGAGACTTTGCCTTTTTGAAGTAATAATATATATGGGTCGAAACTGACCCGTAACACCATAGATGTTACTATAGTTAATAATATTAAAATGAAAAAATAAAACAAATTTATTTCAGAGATGTGTTCTAAATCCCCTCAGTAATAGTCAGGTGACATAACAACCTTTTATTTATTTATATGATTCTCTTGAGGTTCATTTTTCATTGTTTTTTAATTGAAATCGAGGGGTATACTGACAAAAAAAAGGCCCAGGGGCCCACACCAAAATTATTAAAAACAATATTTTCATGGATAAGGAAGCCTAACAAGGTAACCAAGATATGAAAAACAAATTGGATGATAGATAACTGTTTTTAGTGTATTTTACAGCTGATTTAAGACACGGGTCAAAACCGACCCGTTAACATAAGAGATGGTAACAGGAAACTAACAAAAGAGGAAGGTTAAAACCACAAAAGGTTATATATTTAGTAAAAGCAGAGGACTCAAAGAATAAAATTATGGTAGCTGCAACAGTTTACTAAAGGGAACACAAAATCACACATTAGTGCACATTACAATCTCATTTTTTTGTAAAAATATAAACAGGTGAGATTGTATCGCATAAAACAGACCTTTTCACCTCATGGATTTAGAGTGAAAGTGGAGTTCCAATCACACTGTCAAAAAATAAAAAAGTCAGCAACTACAAAAACTGTAGCTGCTGACTTTTAAAAAAACAGCCACTTGCGTGTCTCTCAGTCCTGTGGTGTGTCCCCCGCAGCCAGTTTCACCGGCCGTCCAGTATTCCAGGAGGCCGGCATCTTCAGTGTGGGCACCTGGCTGTTAGAGCTTGTGGCTTCACAGCCGGGTACCCCATGTACATGTGCAAGTAGCACTGCATGAATGTTCCTGTAGTCTTCTGGGACCTGTCACGTGTCCCAAAAGACTACAGGGAGGGAGGACACCTTCCGCTTCCGATCGCTTAGGCAATTGGACCAGAAGTGGGAGCAGGTACCTGTCAAATTTGGGTATCCGTCCCCCCCCCCACCCCCCAAAGGTGACAATCTTTAATGGGGAGCAGTCCTTAAAGCGGAACTTCCCCTGTTGGGTGGAGCTCCGCTTTAACCGTAAATGATGGCTCTGAAACTACATCTCTCACTCCGGTGTGAACTGCAATACCTAATGTATGTTGCACAATCATCATTTACATATTTAATATTTATGTCCGTTTCTATTCATTTTCAGACCTTACATTTTTCAAACTGCATTTTTTTTTTTTAACTTTATTATTATCACAGGGAGAAGGGTGCCATATTGTGTGAAGCACAGACGTTATTGGGTAGCTTTCTACTAGAAAGCTGGTGGCAGATTGATAAAATGTAAACCTACTCCCAGCCAATATTGTTCTTGGGAATTTGTTTACCTTTCATAATAATTACGTCGGGGACAGTAAAAGGGTTCAAGTGAACCTATGCTTTGCCTATAAAAGGGAAAAGCAATGTGTTCACTTTAATACAGCACATGTAATTGGCGCTGAGAGAAGACAAACACCATAACAGAAGGTTGCAATATCAAAAAACATGTTAAAAAGTCCATAGAGTCCATGGAATGAGCAGTGTATAGTGGCAGCTCCCAAAAGAGTGAAGCAATATTCTATAAAAAAAATATGAAGAGGAACACAAAGGGGCGCCGGCCTAAGTGCAGTATTAAATTACAAGTTTATTCAAATAGCCAAATAACTCCTCACAACTGAGGTAAGTAGGCATTTATCAAGTCCCAAAAGGACATATGCAGGAGCCGGTGTGTGTCCACTGGAGCACAGGCATTGAAGATCTGATGTAAACATGGGCCGTCAGCCGAGAACGCCGTAACCACCGTGGAAGGCACAGAAGACTTTTTAATACAGACTTTCCTAGAAGTAAACATTTGCTTTCCTTTCCCTACCCTGCAGCTTCATTCAGCCTCAAGAC